TCCGTTAAAGATATTACCGTGCAGAATTATTTATGTCGATTATTCTTATTATCTTTAGAAGTATCAAGTCTTTGATATTTCTATTTGACATTTGTAGATTAGTTAGGCTTGCCTCCATATTTAGTTATACATATAAATTACACAGTTACAGTACTTTAATAATATGAGGAGACAATATAATAAATATATAATATACCTATAAATATATTAAACAAAATAAATATTTGTCATTTTTTTAATTTCAATAAATTGTATATGATGTATTCCACGCCAAAGTGTACTCTCTAAATCTGAATTAGAAAAAAAAAGTTTACTAATTTTGAATTAGTTACTCACTTTTTGCTTCTCAGTTAGCAAAATTTTACTAATTGTTAGTAAAAGTTACTAATAATTAGTAAAATTTTACTAATTGAGAAGCAAAAAGTGAGTCACTAATTCAAATTAGTAAACTTTTTTACTAATTCAGATTTAGAGAGTGAGTCCATCAGCAATTATTGCATCTCCGATTTTTTTGAGATTTTTTTTCTTTTAGTACTAATTAAGACTAGCTTGCATGAATTTTTTCAAATTTCTTTAACAAGCCGTTTTCGAGTTATGGAATTTTTAAAATTGGAGAATTTTCATGACTTTTAATTTTTGAATGCTCACAACTTCCTTAAAAATGCATCAATTTTAAAAGTCTTTTTTCAAAATGTGTGTTTTTAAACGTACTTTAAAAAAAAATCGAAAATTTTTTTATAAACAATATTACTATCAAATTTTTGAGTTTTAATGATAAAAAGTCATTTTTCTAATTTGACGTACTGATCAATTTTTTTCAAAAAAACTATTTCTTTTTAAGAAACTTTTAAGCCTAACCCGATAATGGGCAAACGATTTTTACAAGATTTTCGGAATTTTGAATTTTTTCAAAATATTTTTGGTTTTGTTTTATACTACTAGTATGCAAAAGTAAAACAAAATTACTCTCATATATACAATATATAAGTTATAAAAATAGTAACAAGAAATTTTTCTCAGTTAACAGAGATAAGCAACTGCTATCTCCGATTAACTTATTTTTTAGTGTGAAGAGATTCATCGCATTATTACCAAGTATTATTTTGCATACCTCATCGTAAATGCCAAACTAGTTTGTATGTTTTGATTCTTGTTAATTAATTTCGTTACAATGTACAACTTTAGTAGGCATGTATAGAGTTAGTTATATTGTGAATTATTAAAAATGCATGCAAAATAAATGTAATTTTTAATCGCATTCAATGCATAATTTTAAATTTGTTGCCTAAAAATATTATAAAGTATCTTATTTTTTATAATGATTTTAGTAAATTAAAAATTTTTAATTATATAACTGTATTAGAATAATTACTTTTTTTGTTTTCTCCATCGTTAGCTATATATTATACAGTCATATTCAGATGCATATAACTTTAACATAAATTTATGGATTTAACTAAATTCGATTTTTTTAAAATGAAAAATAAGACTTAATTTTAAAAAAAGGAGGGAATGAATTTTTTTTATTGAAAAGCACATAAAACATGCTTCAAATTTTCCTATTTGCAAATTAAAATCCATAAAGTTTCGAGATAGTAATGTGGGTTTTAAAATTTTATTGTCACTTAGAAGGTTAAAATTTGCACCCCTATACTATTTTCTAGGAATTTTTTTTTAAATGAGCTAATATTTTGTGAATTTGCTGCTGTCATATAGCAACAATGCAACAATTTGCCAAAGTCACAAGTCAGTTCAATAACTTCTAAATTTTGACTTGAACAGTTTAGGAATTTTACCCCATATATTATGGTAAAAATTATTTAAATACATAATAATTGATACCAAAGTTAACATTTAATATTACTTTTATTGCTCATTTCATTTTTTTAGCTAACAAAATTATTTATTAACTATATTAAAATCATTCAAGAATTAGCATGTTTAATTAAAAACTAACTATGAGTCATTGCATAATTTTATTTTCATCGCATAATTTTTACATAATATTAATTTTGCGGTGCATAATTTCAAATTTTTCATCGACATAAAATCGTGTCCCTAAGTATGTAAGAGTCCCCTTTTTTGAAAATAAAATAAAACAAATACCATTTTAATAAAAGCAATCATTTAAAAAGTTTCTTATATACACAGTAAAAACCTGGGCTCATTTTTGCTGCTATTCAAAATGATTTTTCTGGATGGATCATTTTGAGCCCGGGTTTTTACTGTGTAGACCACGCAAATAATATCAAAAGTTGTTACAGTGCGAATACTATTTTAAAATTATTTGTTTAAGAATAATATTAATTATATCATATTATTCATTTTCTGATGTTATATTATGATTCTAATTAGAAGAAATATTTCTTCTTTTATACAAAAAGTTCTACCTCAAGTATATAAAAATTTTGTCAACTACTAAAACAATTTGTGAAATGCAAGTTTGCACCAAGTAAATGTGATTACTCTGCTTATTTTTGTTTATATTATAGCGTCTTTATCTGTATTATAACATCACTGCTGCTGTCTTTTGCACCTTCTAAATTCTATTTCCTTCCACTTTATTAAATTTTTAATCAAATTTAATTTCTTTTTTTCTTTTTGTTCTATTACATTTATGGTGTCAAGTATTTTACTCATTACCTTTTTTGGTAATATTCTGTTATTTTATGGTATGAGTTGACCTACTCTTCGCTATTGATAAAAATAAAAATAAATATACACTGAAAAAAAATGTTTAATCTACTTTATAAAATACATGACGCTGAAGTTACCAACGTTGATTCGTCGAATCAACGTTGGTAACTTCAGCGTGAAGCGTGAACCAATTTTTCATCTTCAGATTAGTTTAAAGGTCAAAAACCAATTTTTTAAAATTGAAACTTCTTTATTTTGGTCTCAAATATATTCTTAAACAAGAAAATCCTCAACTAAGGCGAGGAAATATTCAATCTTAGGAAAAAAAAATTGTTTTTGTCGATTTAACTTTGATAACTTCAGTGTCATTAAAATACGACAACTTTTGCAGTTTGACAAAAAAAAAAAAAAAGAATTCACTCATGGCAATTGTTTCTGTAAAAAAATAACTTTTGCTTCATTACTTAAGTTAAAACTGCATATTACTATTTTTATTAATGTAATTTATTTGTTATCTTAGCAACTCGGTAAATATTGCCTTTATTACAGAAACAATTGCCATATATGTGTATTGCTTTGGTATAAAGCCTAAGAAATTACGGTATTAAAAACTTGATTTTAAATTATTTTTCTGAGTGTAATTAAGTACAGTTGTGACAGACATTTTTTGCGCCCACCCAAAATTTATGAAATATTCACATTGTTACAACAGCATCCAGCCTTTCTACCTATTTTTATTTTATTTTAGAATGTTTATGAATGCACGTAAATTATTATTGTGATAACTACAATATATCAATAACAAAATATTGTTTCCTTATTGGAAAAATGAGCTTAAATGCCAAGTGGTTCGAATCCACAACGTGGATTCATATTTAACATTAAATTTAATTCTAAAAATATGTTTCACCACAGAAGTTTGGTTGTATGAAAGAGGGATTTCTCTCAGTATACGACCCTTAATAAAGGCCTGTTAAGGGCATCACTATACGCGCCTTAGAACACTACCTTTGTTGGTTTATTTAGGGTCAAATTTAGAACAGCATTTACGGTCATTTTACTTTACCAAGTATTTATGATCATATATTAAGGGCCATATTTATCATATTTACAGTCATTTTTTGTAATAAATATTACAAATTTTATATCTCAAAAACGGTAACAGATATACTTTTAGGTACTTAATAGTACTATAAAATATAAGTCTATTAGGTGCTTTAAAAGGCTCATTGAAGACCTTTTGATCCTTGAACTATACAAAAGGGGCTAATTTGTATAAGTAGTAACTGAAATCTCTTTCGATTCAATTATCATTAAAACTAATAAAAATCCTTAATAATTAAATCTATTTTTTTACTTTTTACATTTGGCTTTTTTAACAGTAAACCCTTAATATAACTTTATAAACATAATTTTTTTTTCCTATTATTTATAATTTACAAGAATTAAAAAAACTACTACATGAAAATTTTTGATCACGTTTAAAAAAAAAAGTTTCTTTAACAACATAGTAATAATGAGATCTCGTAATAATTGCATCATTAAAATAAATGAAAGATTATTATTATCTTAATTAATATATAATTTCAGTGTTAATTAACTACATTGAAAAAAAAATTTAGAAATGAAAATTTAAAAAGAAGCGATAAAAGAAATTACTTATTGTAACCTAAGGTATTTATTAACGTCATTAAGTGGCATATAAATGGTCGCTGAATGACACTGAATTTTGTTTTGCAATCTCAACATCGCGTAATAATAACAATTTCATATGCATAGTATACACAACATGAAAGTTTATCAGTTGACATATTTTATTATAATGATATTATTTTCTCACTCCTCATACAATCTTAAAATAAATTACTGCTATGGTTTATTGCAATAAAAAATTATAGTCTATAATCATATAATGATCCTTTTGATAAAGGATATTATTATTGTGCAACATAACCTAAAATCTATTTTTTAGTTGAGCAAAGTCTCAGTGAATAGAGAATAAACCTCTTGAGATTGAGACAATAACATTAGTCGATCAGGAATTGTTGAAGTGAGCAACAAGGGTCTAATCCTTAGAGCGCAAGGCGTGGTCTCTGATCTAGCCACGCACGCGACGGTCCTAAAACAGTTGGAGGCATGTTTGAGGTTACTGCGAAAGTGCGACGCCGCAGTCGCGATCATCGTGCGAACGGTGACATATAGCAATGCTAGTCATGCATCAGGAATGACAATTAAGTCAACGCCCAATGAACCCTCGAATACTATGACTTCACCGTAAAGCCAACGTGCTCGTCATAACGAATATAACATACAAGTATATTTTTAATGAAAAAAAGTGTTTATACAAAAAAAAAAAAACTCACCTCAGTGGCCAACTTTCCCTTTGACGCCATCTTGACAACAAGGTTGACCGCCGAGACACCTGTGATCGCCGGTTTTCAAAACACCTCCCACTCACTATAAGAATTTTTTTTTCTCTTTTGTCACTTAACACGATATTATAAAAATTGTTTATAAAACTTTTTTTTCCAGGACAGAACAACACTACTGAGATCACATATAAACACTTGTCGATTTACGATACATTCGATGACACAAGGGAAAGGTTACACTACATGAGCATTGTCGATGTAGAAGCCGATCTTGTTAGTTGTTTACTGGCAACTGGGCAACTGGCCCGACCCGGCGCGGCTCGACTGGCACAGCGGCTCCCGATGACGTCATTCAATAGGTGAATATTACTACATTGCTTTTCACGCATACCACTCTCTATCTATTTATCTGCTTATATTACTATCTACAAGTAATATAATTACGACATATATATTTTTTTATACTCTGATACTCTTTTAATATTATATCTAAATTTCTTTCTTATTTAAAATCACTTTCCTTTTATATGCATTTCGGGCCTTATATGGCATACCGTTATTTACAACTCATTGTCATTACTAACTCACAGGATACATAACTATAGTTAAGAAGGGAAAATTATCTTCCCTCATAATTCGAATAGTAATGTAAACATTCAAAAATCCAATTGACAAAATATCAAAATGTCAAAAACTTATTTCTCCAAATACTTATGTCACCGAAAATCCACTAATCAGAATACTTAATTCCCAAAAACTCCACTAGTCAGAATGTTTAAATTCTCGAATCTAAATTTACTAGAATTTTTAACTTTCAACCACTCCATTTTTCAAAATAATTAACTTCCCCAATTTTCATTTGCCATAATATCTAACTTTACGAACTTTTCAGAATATTGAAATTAAATAATTTCCATCTGTCCGAATATTTAACTTCCCGACTCCCATTTGTCCATAATAGGACAAATGAAAATTTGGTAATTTTTCAATATTCTAACAACCAGAATTTCGATATGTTAAATATTATGACAAATGAAAATTCGAAAAGTTATATATTATGTAAAGTAGAAATCCTGAATGTTAAATATTCTGACAAATGGAAGTCGGGAAGCTAAATATTCGAACAGATGGAAATTTGTTAATTCAAAAAATTCTACTTACATGTACATTTGCAGAATTCTAATTGTTTTCGAGGCGCATGAATACATTCCCCAAATACTATACTTGATGTACATTCTGGTGTATGTATAATTTCAGAGAAATTTCAGTTTAGATTATTCTCACTTGATATGAAATTCATTTGCTGTAATTCAGCTGCAATGTGGAATTTTCTTTTTTTTATATATTGGCTTGAGCTGCATTATGGAATTATATAAGAATAAAATGCTATATATGGGCAAATTTTGTAGCATGTTTAGAAAAGAAAGAAGTTCTGTATGCGAAGCGAACCTATTTGGTATAAAAGCAAATGTTTAAAAAATATAAGTTTTGTATGTCAAATAATGTAAGTCGTACGAAAAGAAACAATTTTAAAAAATTTTTTTACAAATTTTTTCTCTTCGTATCACTTACATTATTTGACATACAAAACTTATATTTTTTAAACATTTCCTTTTATACGAGTGTAATTTCAATCTTTTTAGTGTAAAGTTAGAGTCCGATTTCTAACACTAATAAAAGGTATAAAAATTAAAAAGCAATCTTTATTATGGCTAAGAAGCTCTGGAAATTTGAAGTTTAGTTCTGATAGACTTCAGCGAGTTCCAGCGACACATGTATCCCATCTAACACCTTTGTGGAACATCTGCTCCTGTAATTAGGGGAGACCGGGGCTGAAAGTGCCGGGGGTAAATTGTGCCGGTAGGAATATCTCAAAAACGAATTTTTTTTTTGAAAAGTGGAAGTGAGAGAAGTATTTTTTTACTTATTAGCATCTTTGGCAACTATTTTGATTATGTTTGCTTCACGGAATAATTAGCTGTTAGTAATTTGGTGCTTTGGCGTCACTTACGTGCAAATTTTCATGTTTACACTTTTTGATCTATTTTTTGCAGTTTTAAAGATATCGATACGTATTTTTTTTTTAAATGATCCAAATTTATCGACGGATTTAATAGTGTATGAAACCTAATATTTAATTTATCTAGTTTTTTAATATTTGATAAAAAGTGAGCATCGACGCAACGAGATTAATTGTGCCTTTCGCTTGGGGCTGGTTGTGCCGCTGTCAATCGCTACATAACAATAATAATCTACTATTGCCTCGTTTGTTCGAATAGTTATTCCAACCCGAAATTAAGAGAAAAGTTGATTTAATGCATAGTTTGCAAAAACTGGGCACATTCAAAATGTGTGAAGGGTAAAAAAGGGTCAGTTATATGTGTGTCAATTGTAATTTCAATAAATCGCATTCGGAATAAGTATTCATGTCTTAAAAATTATTTATTAATCAGAACGTAGAGTTTTTACAATTAATTAATGATACAAATAATTATTTCAAAAAATATTTTAAAAGACTGACTAATTATGTAATTGTAAAATTTAAGTCAGAAATGTTTATTTATTTACAAAAATCTATAAATGTTACGATTGTTGGAAAAATCCTTATTTGAATGTTTATAATAAAAATACTTATTACGAAAACTATATTTTAAGTGACTGACAAACTATGCAATTATAGAATATAAGTCAGAAAATGTTTATTTGTACTTACTAAAATCTAGAAATCTTAAGATTGGTCCTAAAAACCTTTAAAAGTTTATAACAAATGATTAATAAATAATAGTAAATCATATATTTGCAATAATTATTTTATTTCTTACGCGTAAAATTATTTGCTTCAACTGAAACAACTAAAAAATCTGAGCGGCACAACCGACCCCGGCGTCGGCACAACTCTCCTTAGCGCGCAGTTCAACGGGCCGTGTTGCCTCCCTGCACAAAATCATTTTTAACAAAAAAAAACTGTTCAAAATTATCAAAAAATAATAATGGATTTAAAAACTACATTAAATTTGAAAATAAACAGACTATAGATTAAAACAAAAAGTTCTCATTTTACTAGCATTTTATTTAGTTTTCTCAAAATCGGCACTTTCAGCCTCGGTCTTCCCTACACCAAAACAAAATGCACGAGGCTTAGGTTATACTTGTGTTCACCCAGATGGCACGCAAGTCTGCTGCCAACTTGCAGCCGACTTGCATTGCAAGTTTGCTGTAAGCTTGCAATGTCCTACCCTTTGCAAACTTGCAGAACAAGTCGGCTGCAAGTTGGCAGCAGACTTGCGTGCTATCTGGACATGGTTTACTAGAGCAAAACACCAAATATTAAACGTTATAAACATGAATGCTCATGGATATTATAATATTGCAAATTATATTTGTTCCGTTTCTCGTCCAAAGTTAAAAACAAATAAGTTACATTTATCGTGTTCTTTAAAAGAAATTTTAAAACATTTGAAATAATATTGTTATTTACGTTTTAAAAAAGAGAAATTTATTATTTTCTTTTATAAGTAATATTTAAAAATATTTAATTATTTATTTCTCTATTTCCAGGGATCACAGAGTGTCACCTATTCACCTATTCCCGTGTAGAAATTGCCATATTTGTCCCAAAAATGGCTTGAAACGCCTCACCCAATATGGGCCAGACCTGGGATAAGCGTCAAAATGTGGCTTCATTTTATGACCCAAGTCGGGTAAGGCGTTTCATGCAAATTTCCTGGACGCCAGATTTGGCCTAGGTTTGGGTCATGACAAAATTTCTACACGGGTTTTGAAATTTGGTATCTATTTCACCTATTTCGATGATTTGTCACCTTTTTTCAGTTATTGATGGAAAATTTTTTTTATTTTGTACTTAGTAATTATTTTTTTGTGTTTAAATATCGCGCTTTTGCTTCGAATTGGAGAATAATACCAATCTCAGCCAGTAAATTGCGCGATTGAATCATTTACAAGCCATACATGCTGGCCATTTGAGCATCGTAGCTCCAAAACTGTAACAGTTAAGGGGGGAAACACTTTTTTCCGAAATTTCGAGTTTTTGTATTATAGCTATATTAAATTTAATTCCCCAAAAAAAATGAATGAGGTGGACAAGTTTCACAGCAGTATCAGAAGAAAAAATACTCTTATAATGGACAGTGCTGCAAAAAAAAAATTCATTTTTAACAATAATTTTTTTGTCACCTGTTTTTGAAAAAAATTGTATCTTTTCACCTTTTTTGATGACAAAAGGTACTGTGATTCCAGTATTTTAAAGTTTTGCTCTTAAATAATAATTTTAAGTTTAATTATTTTTTATTTATTTATTATTTAATTATTATTTAATTATTTTGACGTGTAATATTTTTTGTAATAAAGGGTATAATACTCAGTAATATATGTGTAATACTTTATAATACATAAATATTTTGGTAGTAGTATTGAATACTTGTAATAAGTGTAATACTAAGGTAATAATGGTAATATGTGTAGTTGTAGTCAAGTGTACATAATTTTTACTAGTAAATTCCCCCTCGTTTCTATCACGTTTATTAAATTTTTTCTGTAATCAGTATACGTAAAAATTAATAAATTTGAAGCACTTTAGATAAAATTTTCTTTGTTATTGGGGGAAAATTCATGATTTTTTTTTAAATTGTCAGTTTTTTCTTGACAGCGCCAGGACCATCAACTCCAATTGTCATTGTTTACGTATAAGTATATTTTTCGTTTTCAAAACAGTAACTGAAACTGTCTTCATGTAAAAACAGCCTCCAAAGGTTTAATAATGAAACTAAGGAAGTTATTGCGGATTTAAAGAATTTATATTTAAATAAAAAATAATTAGTTATCACAGTTTTAGAATTTTTTTTTCACTTCGATTAAACGCATGTGTGCAAACCTTACTTCCTCCCACACTAAGCATATACAGTTAGACGGCCCTAAACATGAGGAAGTGGGGGTGATTTAAAGGGATTTTCGGAAATTTGTCAATTTGGCGGATTGACTGTATAGGAATTTCAAACACTTTTATTTAAAATTCTATATCACTTGACAAATTTCATTAAAAATAAATCTTACTTTTAACATATAGGTTACATATTATTTGACAGACCCCATTTGATAGAAAATTTACTTGACATAAATATCATTTACTGTATAATAAACTTGCTATTAATATAATTTTGTATTAAAACTTACTTGGGATAAGTTTCATTGAGTTGACTTAAATCTCATTTGAGATAAATTTTACTCGTCATAATTTTTATTTGACACAGGTCATACACC